ATAATAAAGGTAATGCACTGATAATATAAATTATGTGGATGTAGAAGATAAAAACGGATTTAAAGTTAAAAATTAAGCTACATAAGTCTATTTTTATCACCATATTGCCATAAATTACACAAACAGATGTAAAAGTTAACAAAATAAATGTAGCAACCCTGGGCTTCTGGAATTCCAATGAGAACCATGAGATTTTATATTGTTACAAAACCATCGGATGTTGGGTTGAGATAAAGGAAGGAAGAGGGGAAGCTATGGAATAGTGGAAAGACATCAGATGTTGGCAGGTAACCTGCGCACCCACATATCACTCCATCCGCCTTCTTCGAGTTTCAAATCAGTCAATCCATGACCTGCCCGTGAACCCACACACAACAATTCATCTTATCTGCGCGCATGCCCAGCCCTAGTCGAGAGTCTAGACACTTACTATTGTCACGAAAAGCAATTATCTTGATTGGCGGGAGCAAGTTGAGCAGAAGTCCAAATTTGGTGATCAAATTATTTTTAATCCTAATTTGTTAGAAAAGAAGATAAAGGGATTGAGCTTTGTGGTGAGTCTTTTGCCTGTAAAAGTTGTTGTTTTGACGAGTCTCTTGTACCTTCTGTTTTCTCACTTCCAACTCCCCCCCTCATTTTAACCAATAAGATGAGAAGGATGAGTGGATGACCAAAGCGTGAAAAATGTTAGTTTGTATCTACGTGACACGGTCATCCCAAAGTTTATCAAAAAGCTTAATTCGCTTAGAGTATCAACGGAGGATGGAAAAACACTTACTGACACACTTTATGCTTGTGGAATCAATGTCAGATACTTAAGACTGGTGAGACTGTCACAACTTTTTTTTACACCCAAGTTGGATTGTTACCTTACATTTCCTGTGTTGGATAAAACAAACCTTTTTTTTTTCTTTTTGATTTCCTATTTGATGACATCGGTGATTTGTGTAATTATATTAGGATCTAGCATATTGTGTTTGGTTCTGTATCATAATTTGACATCTCAGAAGTTAATATTTGATCTAGGATCTGATGAGACGTGTGAAATGTCACTTGACATCCCCAATCTTCTATTTAAGGCTAGCCTTAACCACATTCTTAGCTGTCATAAGACTACAGTGCCATAGGTAGCTTATATCCCTCCCTCCGATGTTGTTAGGATATCATAATTCGGATGATACTTTGACTTGAGTAAGGGTGTCGTTAAAGTGTATGGGTTTAATTATAGTGATTTGAATCATACTTCGATTTATTTTCTATTCTCAAATTCATGAATTCTATTAATTAAAAAGATTAGCAAACTATAAACCAAATCAAACCCATGACCAGATTAAACATCATTTTGTCTTTGTGAAGCATTTTGGAAACCTTTTATAAGTTTAAAATTCAAGTACTTTGCTTGATGCATGATTAGTAATAGAAATAAATTGGTACAAATGTTTTTAAATGAAAAAGATAAAAAAAAACCCATGAAAATCATCATAAAATTTTAAATTTTTTTTAAAAATATTTGCATTGTATTTTCTTGTTATCTAAGTGTATAATGTAAATCTTTTATGGCTGCCCCATCAAGAAACCAAAAAACAGTACATAAATTCAACTTTTCCACTGTCAATAAGCATGTCAATGGACAGTCTAGGTTTTTCATTTCAATTAATCCAATTGATTTGTTTTTGAAGTTCTGAAGAACCAAGAGATTCAATTTCTTTTCATTTTCAACTATCTTTTTGAATAACCAGCAAATCTTGATTTGGAAGAGGAAGCACATATCTAAAGTTTGCTACCCAAGTCTACCGGTGGTGGTGAAGAACCTTGATTGGCTCAAGAGCATCAATTATCCGTTGATTAGGAATTTTACGAATAGAAACAAAAAAACATATTGCTTAATCGAAGATATATGAACTAAATAATCTGAACATAACAATTGTATAGATTTCACACATTGAGTTAAAATTTTATGGGGAAAACCTCATCTTAATGCTAGAACTAACTTAATCATTTCCACTGTTGAAGAAGAAAAATTAGTCACTCGTACTCGTCATTTCATCCTTAATTACGAAGGAGTACAGAGGTCAAAGAATACAATGAAAAAAACAAAAGGAAAAAGAGGGAGACCTGTAACAATCTAGTAATCCATGCTCTTGGTTAGTCCACAGGGCCAGCACTGAGATTTTGGAGGCCATGTTCTATAAATGAAATGTGATCCAAATCGTTTTTCCTAAATATATAACAAAACATCAATGATTAAAAATTACAACACTATTTAAAAATAATATCTATCTAATATAATTTGAAATAAAGAGTGAAAATGATTTAATAGTAAGATGTAATTAAAAAATTAATTATTTGAGAGACTGAATAAAAAAAATTAAAAGAATAAAAAAAGTAACTAAAATGACAATTAATCAATTAGCTAGAGTCACATAAATAGGCAATGAGAACTTAATTAAGTAGACGATGAAAATTATTTTAGAACAATCAAATAGTATAAACAAATAATAGAGTAAACTACGGGGTTTCTTCTGGACACTCTTCCTGTCAGGTATCTAGGGGTTCCCTTATTAATAGGGAAACTGAGCTCTCATGATTGTCAGGTGTTAGTGGACAAAATAACAATAAGGGTGAGATGCTGGCAATCTAGATTTCTTAGTTATGCAGGTCGCCTGCAGTTAATTTCTTCAGTGGTAACAAGTGTTTTTCATTACTGGATGACAATTTTTCTTCTGCCAATGAAGGTTTAGAAACTGATTGAGAAAATCTGCAATGACTTTCTATGGAATGTGGGTGTAGGGGGTTCCAGAAAAAGTGCGCCAGTTGCTTGGGATTATGTTGACTTGCCAACAAAGGAGAGGGGGATTGAGGGTCTGTGACTTTAAAACCTAGAACTAGGCTTGTGTCATTCGCCATCTCTGGAATCTCCTTGCAGAGGCAGGCTTCATCTGGGTTGCCTGGATCTACAAATACAGGGTCAAGCAAAGAACTATTTGGGATCTTCAGATTACTGCTAGTGGCTCTTGGGTGTGGAGGAAAATTTTCAAATGCAGACCTAGAGCCCAGGCTTTCATGACTGGCAGTGGAGCTTCTTTGCAATGGGATGAAGCCACGCTTAAAAAATATTCAGTCAAGGCAATCTAGGAATTAATACGCACTCATCATGAGTTAGTTCATTGGAACAAAGTGATATGGGGCAAACACTATTATCCCAGGAGGATCAGAATCTCGTACTCACCTTTTCTCACTATGTTCTTACTCAGTGTGGATATTACAACAAATTATGTAGCAGATTCGTTGTGTGGTTCCTACTTTCAACAACTAGGAGGATCATCTTCAATGGGGGGTTGATCGTTGGAGTGGCTAAACTGATTTGGTAGTTGATGGCAGATTTTTATGGCTTTTGATTTTAAATCATTTATGGCGCGAGAGATGCAGAAGAGTTGCTGGAGAAAGTGATTGGTGTCCCCCTTATACTTTGTTACTGAAGATTAGGATTGATGTTCACTATTTTATGGCAGGAAGTGTACAGCTTCAAGAAAGCATTAGAAATGTTTCTCCTTGATATGTAGAGATTTTCTATGAATTGAATGTGTAGAGGATAGGGTCATTGTCGAACTCTTGAGAGGAGTTTAATGCTTGTTGGCATCTCCTTAGCTAAATGACAATTTTTGATTAACCATACAAAAATAGAGTAAACTAAATTAGATAGGAGAAATTGGTAATTTTTTGGGCTAAAGTTAAGTATGGTACGAACTATTTATAATTGATTTAGTTATTTTTACTATTGGTGGCTTGTACCTAATTATTTTGATTAACGTTTAATAAATCAATGCATATTATTTAATTAATTTAGCATTACTGCATGGCTTGTACAAACAAATTAATTGACGAAATTGAATTATTTTCTCCCATGGGAAAGCTAAAAATTAAGACAGTTAAAGTAACAAATTTAATAATGCTAATAATGAGACATCAACAATCTTACCTCTTTTATTCTATTTAGGAAACACAAGACAAAAAATGAGTTATATTATATGGTTTGAAAAAAGTCTAATAAGAAAATAACTATTAATATGATTGTTTAATAATTTCCCCATATGATCCATTCGTTCCTTTAGCCTTTTCAGTTAAATTTTAAAATATGATTGTTTTAGATACATGATCAAAACTCCATTGATAAATTTTCTATCGTTTTAAATTCATAATAGAAATCCAATAATCTGTGATAGTAATTAGTTATATACACGATGCAGATCTAGAGGCTCCCGTAATTTGATGGCCTTGTGTCAGTGTTCCGGAGTGTCTGCCGACACATCTTCAGGGCGGACCCTGAGTCCATCATTCATTAGATAATATCATGACATTGGTATTATAGTAAGTGGAAAGAAAAGAACTAATGAAAAGAAAAATATGATTTAATTTTTAATTGATTCAAAACAATGATATCATAAGGATTCCATGATGATAAGTGACCAAGTATCAACTTTTGGGTGCAACATGTAACTCATGCAAAATTTTAATTAGAATCAACCAAATTAAATAATCAAGAGGAGTATGACAAAGAAAAATCCTCCCTTGCACTTGCGTCGGAGGGCTTGCAAATATTTATTCAAGCACAAAACCAAAGTCGCGGCAAAGTGCGACAAATATTCCTCATTAGTTAATTGAAGATATCTGAACTAAATAATCTGAACATACCAATTGTATAGATTTCACACATTGAGTTAAAATTTTAGGGAGAAAACCTCAAAATTGGTTTCTATTCGTAATTAATCCGAGCCTCCACCTCCTTCTATCTTTTACATTTCTATAAACACAAGTCCAAACTACTCAGAAGCTTTTCTTTACCTCCACAATAGTGTTTTTAGCTTGGAAAGAATACACAATGATTAATTGAAGTTGTGAGAGACAGAGAGCATAACAACCATCAATGGATTAGAGTAGCAGTGATAGAATTGTTATAATTGAGGTGCCTAATTGACATAGAACTCGGCGTGATCGAGAAATCACTTTACCTTGGTCGCTAATAATCAAAAGTCAAAACCTGAAGTGAGCTATTGTTCTATTGCTGGCGATTTTGCAAGAACCAGGCGTTGCAATGGTAACTAGGACGAACCTCCCATCAAAGAACTGGACTAGAAACACAAACAAAAGTTGGAGCCCAAAATGGATGCAACTATGATCAATAAGACACACTCTTGGTTATGTTTTCCCCGATGTGAATTCAATAATGATATACCTTTCCATTCATTCCTTGCACAGCGAGATGGGCAGACTCTTCGCTAGCAAACCACACATAGGCGAATCCCAGTGACTCATTCGTTCTCTTGTCCACTATTAATTTCACTACAAACCCAAACAAGACTCCTTCCATTTCAGTTTAGAAAAAATTTCCACCCCAATCTGAATAAAAAATAAGTCTCTCTCACCTCGGCTGATCTCTCCAGCCGTACCTCGGTGGCTGACAGGGCTACCCCTTTGATGAAAATGATGGTCGGCGGAGACGGAGAGGATTCCACGGGTGATGAGCTGCCGGAGATGGCGGAGCAGCTGTGAGGAATGGGGTTTCTGGCTCTGCGCAGTGAGATTTGAAGCTGGAGGGGAGGGGAGGGGAAGTTGGGGGTTGTTGAAAGGGAGACCAGACAGTGATGGGAAGAAATTGGGATGTAGATTGAAGAAGAGATGGAGATTGGAATGAGGTCGGACGGGACATTGCGGTCGGAGACAGGCCGAGCACTCCGGCGAAGATACGAAGCTGTGCCTGTGTGAGTGTGAAGAGGTCCGAGCAGGTTTCACGGCACAGTGAGGATAATTAGGATGAGCGTAAGATCTACGATGTGTTCGCCTGTGGGCTTTAAGGCCCATAAATTTACTGTATATCTGATACTAGCTTTTAGCCGACCCGTTGGTCGGATTAATTTATGTTGTTGACTGTCATATATCTCTTCTCAGTCAATATCATATTGTCAAGTCAATATTACTAACAAAATTGCTAACAAAAAATTAATTTTAGACTACTAATACTAACAAAATACCATAACAGGCCACATAAGACATGCCCATAGACCATCTCAATCACGCGCAAGGCGCGGCATCACCATCTAGTTCTTATATATAAAGCACAAGTTCAGTTACTGTTGCCCAAATTCACTAGCTGATTGGGCGTTGTATTTACATTTTTGTACCCCAAACTTAATTAAATTACAATTTAGTCACTATAATGTATATTTTACATTTTGATATCCCGAATTTAATTTTAATGTAAAATTATTGAACAATTATGTTTTTGTATCTAAATTTTATGAGCTTTTCGTACCTACAATTTTTTTAAGTTTACATATTGGTGCAATATTTAGATTTCACTTGAATCGTTGAATACAATCCACCAATCATTTTCAATCAATCCATGAATCCAATCCACCATAACATAAAAGTATAAATTTAGTTTGTACCATACAAGATGTTGTATCACTCAAGTGTAGAAGAGGATTCGACCATTTTATAATTGCTCATTACGTGAAACATTAAATAAATGATAAAAGAGAGACGACGCTAAAATATTACAAGAGCGAATTTATAAACTCATTTAGTACGTTTACGGGGTACTAAACAAACTTCTACTAACTACATGTAACAAAATAGGCGACATCTACATAAACAAGTGTCAATAAATTGCTACTGGTGAAAATGGTTGACTGTTGTATTGGCGCCCAACTAAAAGAATTGGTGAAAACCTTTCCATCATCTACTTACTTTCCGTTTCATTTTTCATTCGCCTGCAATAACCCTTTCTTTATTTCTTTCTTTACCTTCTTCGTCTAACCCTAATTAGTATATAATTTTTATGTATTCTAATCACAAGTATGAACGGGTCCATACATGACTTACAAACAGTCTAGAGAATTAATAATTGAACCATGAACCACTCACTTATCAGCTCAATTAAAAATAAATGTATGTGTTTATTATTTATTAGAAAGTAATCAGTTTCCACTATGAGATTTGAAGGCGTGAAATTTTAAAAGAGTTCCAGTTTGTATTCATTTTGCTTCTCCATAAAATTTTTCTTTTTCACCTGAGCTAGAATTTTCAACAATTATACATGAAATGTTTGGCTAGGTATCTACATATATAAAATAATAGTTTCCATTTTTTCTATAAAAAAAGTAAATAATTATCATCTTGAATACACCACCATAAACGACTTAAACCTCAACTATACAAATTACAGTTCGTTACCTAAACTTAATAGATGTTTAGATTTATAACCTAAATTTATTTTTTTGGCACATAAGTCCTCAAAATATTGATGGAACATTACATTTTAGTATCTAAAGTTTTTGTGTATGACATTTTGGTGCCTAAACTTTTGAAGTTCTACAAATATTTCAAATTTTTGTATGTGTAATTGAAACACCTTTGAATAAATGGGTATCCATACCTCACTCATACACATTTAGATTATGAAAGTAAATATTCATACCCTACCCAAACTCCTCTACAAACTTTCAAACCCATATATACGTGACTCACTCCTACTGTCACTCTAGAAAATGGCCAAGTGTAACCACTTCCTAAAGAGTAGTATAGCGGGTTTGGGTTTTATTGTCAACCCGGGTCCTAGATGTGATGACTACTCGGTGAAATCTCGTTATCTAGCAGTGAACTTTTAGTGAAAATTCAAACAAACAAAAACACAAAGCAAGTTTAACGGTTGTTCAAGTCAAGAGAGGTCACCCGGATATGGTTTCCCCTAGACTGCAGTTAAGTCGGATTGCAATTTACCAAGTTCAGTTTTCATGAAAGTTATACTGCGGAAGGTTCTTAAATAGCCTGAAGTCTCGACTAAAGGTCTCCAGACCCTCTCAATCTGAGTCTCTAGCGGGCGACTAACCTCCACCGGAGTAAACAGATTGAGGCCCTAACGAACCAAACCTCCACTACCGAATGGAATTCGGTACAGAATAGCGAATTGGCTCCTCGACTAAAGTCACCAATTCGCCACCTTCGATTAAGGATACTCTATCAACCTAGGCAGATATTCTCATTCTAGGTCAAAGCAGAAACAACAGGAATTTGATCAGGATTCAAGTCATTCAATCATTCAAACCTCAATCGAATATAATCAATTCACAAATTCTGTACTTGGGTTCATACAATCAGACCTAGCATACAAATCTAGGATTCCCCATACCCAGATGAATGGGGGAACTACTCCATAGAGAAAGAAGCAAAAGAAGATTCAGACGCGGAAATCATACTGTGAAGACGGATTTCTGCTCCTGGACGTTTAATCGGCACTTCTCCAAGCTCAAGCCGGGCTCCAATGTTGATGAAGATCAAGCTATGGCACTTGGGAACTCTGGTTTGTCGCTTTCTCTCTCTAGGAATTGATTTCTCTCTCAAAAACTCGGACCCCTTCAATGTTGGCCTTCTTCTTCCTTTCATCAGCTGCCAGATCGCGATACCCGGTCGAAATACCCGGTCGGGTATTTTGGATTTCGACCGGGTATAATCAAAACGCACCGTTTCTTCAAAGGGAAAATCCCCGGTCACTCTCCATAATCCCCGACCGGGGATTTTAGCCATTTTGCCCGGGCCCCCCTCTGTTTCTCACGGGGCGCCCAAAGGAATAATACCCGACCATGGCCAGAAAATACCCGGTCGGGTATTTCTGCCTTTGGCCGGGTATTTTGGTTCTCCAGCCTCTTTCTTCCCAACTTCGCTCCTTTCGACCCAGAACTCGTTTCTCCGCCTCGATTCCAACGCCGGGTCCTGAAATATGACATAAACACACAACCTAGCATGAAATCGGCTTAAAACACGAGATTCCACATCACAAACGGCTTCAGAATAGGGGTGAAACTATGTGTAATTATCGGTCTATCAAACTCCCCCACACTTAACCGTTTGCTTGTCCCTAAGCAAACCAAGTCAGACACCAGGTAAGCTCAAAACGTTTCAATCAAGCAGGCTTTAGGGCAAATCGTATCGGCACAAAACACGTGGATCATACTGGCTTTCGATCATCAACACATGGCAACTTGAATGACAACCTAGACAACCACCACAGACGACATTCGAATGCAATAAAGTCGAGCAAAGGAAGAGTTCTCTCCTGTTCACCAACCAACCTAGACTTGACTCAATCACTTGTTCAAAACAGTCACTTCATGCACAGAGCTCAAGATATCAGAATTAAGACCGAGCAATCTAGGTCCTCACCGGGGTAAAGAGTATAAAGAGAATAAGAAAATTAATCGCTCACTCTCGACCAGTGGGGTTAGGACAATTTGATGCGAAAAATGCGCATGCTTCTTCTCTCAATCCCTATCGTCTCTTCACCAGGAATGCAGCCTCTAAATGCTAGAGTTCACATAAGCGGTGTCACCACAAACTAATCCGGAGGTCTTAGACACAGGTTCAAATGACTGGCTAGGGTCTTGGACATGGGGAAAAGGCCTTTTAGGTGGTGGTAGTCATAGCACAAGGTTCCACATTTCCCAACCCAACAAAACCACAGTCAAACAAACCAGTAACTTCCGTTCTGCTATTCTGCATTAATCAAATTCTTTAGGCACAAGAGCGAAGGAGGTTATAATATGTTAGCATTTCCAAGCCAAACTGCTAAGAAACACTACTTAATGGGCACTATTCAGATTTTTAGTGGTGGCTCTCTTTTGCTTTCATTTTTTCCTTTGTTTTTCTTTATTTTCTTTGAGAAAACCACCACCGCTGCACATTTTTTCAATAACACGCCCAACTTTTTAAGCACTTCCTCCAACCCTCACCTTACATTTAGCAGAAATAGCAGAGAACATGTAAAAGTCACTCTGTGGAACCTTCTAAAAGATGCAAAAGGGTGACTTTTCATTGAAGACCGAAAGAAAGGAAAACACACGGCTCAAAGGGGCTGACTAGGGGTATGACACACCAGGACACTCAATTTGGTCGTGGGCTAATCCTACGCCTCCATCATCTTAGCTAGTGACAACGTGAATGCTACATTTCATGGAAGAGGAATCTATCGCACAAGAAAGAAACGAGCAGGCTCAAATCTCACATGGATACCTATATGCTCTATCTCACATTCTGATTCCCTGAACTAGATGCATAAATGACTGTCAAAAGCAAGTGATCAAACACAAGTCGCAGTTGGTAAGCAAACAGTTGAAACTGAACCCCTACACAACGCTACTACACATCTCAGTCATCGTAATAGGCTGTCTTAGTCACACTCAAGTTGTCATGCATCGAGTCAAAAGCCATTCAATCTACTAATCACATCCATAGTGCCAACACGATCAATCATCAAGCAAACAGCGGTGCTTGGAGCCCTCAAATCTCGAGATTTGGACAGTGGACTAGGCTCCAAGCACCCAAACAGATCTAATGCAGTCAAAAGATAAACATCCCCCCACACTTAAGATCGACATTGCCCCCAATGGAGAAGAGGGAAGGAAAGGGGAACGATGTTACCGGTTCGCACAGACTGCAGGAGACTGGAAAGGGGCCAGTCAGGAAGAAACGGAGTGGAGAGAGGACCAGTCGCGAACACAAGCACAGCTAAAGGGAACCAAAAAGCTCAAACACATACGTTAGGTCCAATGGTCAGCCCAATAGTTTAGCATCTAAAAATGAAACGAAAAAGAAACAAAAACCGACACAAGACAGTTTGCATGCGGACAAAGACCAAAAACACTCAAAACATGCCCCTAGGGCCCTCCAAGACCGGTGAAGTCGACATGGTCCATAAGGTCATCGACGCCATCCTCCGGTGGCTGCCGTGGCGGTGAATGCTCCCACCGGGTGGTCCAGTGGTGCTCCTCCGAAGG